TAAGTAATGTTGACAAGTGAAAGCTGAAAGAGTGATTAGAACGCTATAGGTATGTACCTATTTAATCTTAAATTGTTTTAATTACAAGTAAACTCATACGTAGTCGAGTGCGCGCGTCGGCAACATCAAAATGTATTCAAGGAAACGAGAGAGTGAGAGGTAATGAGAGAGAGAGAGAGAGAAAGAGCGAGTGCGCCGGGACGGCACGTGTAAGCTTACAGGGTTGTAGCATAGTAATTGAAAACAAATTGTTCAAATATTTGTATGAAAATATCAATTTACATGAAATTGTTTTTTGACCTATCAATTGTGTTCTTTGTGCTAGGTTGTATGGCCATGTTTCGGGATTATACAGGTATTACCAAACACGCTGTATATTGTCCACAAAACAAATATACTCGACAAAGCACGTGACAATCAATCAAAGACCATATGTCAATACAAAACAAAATTAAATAAAAATTAAATATAATAAAAAAACTTAAATACAAAGACAACGTATAAAAATAGGTCGGTTGAGCTGACGATCCGCAACTTTTATTACTTTTTAAAGAAATACAGCATAATAAATAAAATATAGGTATATTATATACCTTTAAATAAAACAAAACATACTTTTGTGTGAACTGTTTATTAATAATTAATAATACATTTTAACTCTTATCTCAAATCATTTCAACTTGTTTTTAAAAACTTTAATATGTCATTTTTATAAAAACATTAGCTTTCCGCCATCGGCTTCGCCCGTGTGTCCCCAGGGAACTATTTAGTGGGATAAAAAGTATCCTATTATCTAAGTAAGCTAATACCCTATCTGTATACCAAATTTCATCAAAATCGGTTCAGTAGCTTCGGCGTGATTGACGGACAAACATCCAAACAAAGAAATTTTCACATTTATAATATTAGGACTACCAATCACACTGGGGATAATGGGCGTATCCACAATGGACGTAGCAAATCGAAATCCAGTACTTATTCTGTGCTAATACTCTGCCTAGATTTCTGAACTTTGTTGGAGTTGTGTAATAGTTTATTGTGAGTGTATAAAGCGGCCGAGTGTGCGAATGTGGCCGGACAGTTGCCGCAGCGCAACGGACGCTCGCCTGTGTGCGTGCGGACGTGGGATTGTAGTATTGCCAGCGTCTGCAATGATTAATACCCCGAAATGAGGAAGTATACTAAGAAACACAAGAAAGCACTAAAAAACCCCGACTGCGTAAAACAAATATAAAAATACATGAAAAAATTAACTAAAATAAAAACTAAAAAGAAAGGAACAAGCCCAGTAGTTTAGTAATACTAAATAATTACATAATTGTATTTTTTTTAATCGTTTTAACGCAGTCGGGTTTTTTGTTTTTCTTTCAATTATTTATTTTTATTTTATACTGTTTAGTTATCTATCGAGCTTGGTAGTAAACTTTTTTTTATTCGGCTACTTGGCGATGTATAAAAGTTTTTTTTTCCAAAAATATTTGTTCTTCATGCTTTTCACTGCTTTTTTTTTATTGTATATCGTTTATTCTTTAAATAAAAACTTAAATCAATAAGTAAGAAAATTAGCGAGAATGATTATTTTGTTAAACAACTTTAAATCTTTATATATCCTAAACTATTATTTCAAATGAAAAATGATAAAAGGAACTAATTCTATTCAACGACACCCCACTTGACATAGTTCATCGATTTTTTTTTTCATTTAGACAATATAGCGTCTAGTTGTCGCTGTGGTGAATTTTGAGTACTGTCATGTCTTTAGTGACACTCGCCAGGTTAAGACGAATCGATTGACGTAAGAATCATCTAAATCGGTCTACGCATTTGGTCTCTAGAAAGCCATATAGAAACAAACATACATACATACATAGACTGATAAACACATTACCCTCCTTCACAAGATGGCGACTCTACCAAAAGTTGATTTTTGCAGGAAACGAATGGACCAAAGACAGTCATTTCCGTTCCATTTAACTAACATATTAAAAAAAAAAAAATTTGAAAATTTCGTAACTTAGATATCAATACAAATACGAAAAAGTACAAATTGAATATGAGTTGTTCATTGAGTTTTTAAAACTAATTTACTTTGAAACATGAAAGAAAAACCGGAAAGGTTGTCATGAAGAAATCAAGAATGTACCGTAGCGACATCTTTTTAGATTTCGGGAACTATTTTTTTTTAATACAAGAAGTATTATTAAACGAAACATCTCAATGAATACCTCACTCTCACTCACCGTAAAGCCGCGTCCACAGTGATGGCATATCTTGTTCCTAGGCGGTCGCATCTTTTTGTGTACGTAATTGGTGTGTTTTTTTAAAGCTGATCCGTTTATGAACATCTAGGCACAAATAATTAAAAAATCTGTAACTTTTAATTGATTTAAAGTACAAATTAGCTGTTATCAAATGCGAGTAAAACTCGACTGCCAAAAGACAAAAGAAACTGCAAATGCAGTCGGAACCGACGGCTTAACGTGCCTTCCGAAGCACGGAGTAAATTTTTCGATCACCCATCCCGTGACTGACCCTTTTGATCGAACAATGTTGATAAGCGCTGCGGGCAGCGACGCTCAACTACTACGCCACCGAGGTACTCGATGTTATAGCGTGAGTCTGATAATATACCCTTGGCACAGAAAACACGCTATTGTAAGTTACGAATTATTTAATCAAACTTAAATAAAATTAAAATAACCAAACTGTAATCTGTGCTCAACAATTCACGTAAGCTTGTAAAATATTTAAAATTCTTTTCGTGGCGGGAAAAGACAGAACCATAAACAATAGAATACATAAAAAAAAGATTTTAAAAAAGGTTAAGAGTGTGTAGTAATTATACACAGATAATATTCTAAACATAACGAGACGGTACACGGACTGGTCGCTCAGATCTAGTTAGACATGGACGTAGTGCTTCAATGTATGATGTATGATTAGCTAATTACCTTGTGACATTTAGTGCATTCATATTTCCCGCTCTTCAGATGTACAAAATCGATGTGTTCTTGTAAAGAGGCTTTAGTTAAAAACTTAACACCGCATTCGTCGCAAATGAACCTGGAGGAAGATAAAGAAGGCTTGAATAGGGATGTTATTTATTTTATTTTCTATTTTTGACATTGACACAATTGACATTCTAAATTAATAACATCGTATTATAAAAATAAAAAAAAGTATATACTTAAATCTGTTTAATATTAATTTTGTTACTAACTTGACCTGTGTGCTATCTATCATTATTTATTATACATTTATCTATACTGTACATTCTACTGATCGAAAAACCACAGAGAGGTATTCTCAAAGTTGGTGCCAACCTTTCGTTTTATTATCCTACTGACTATCTGTATAGGATTTGGGATGTATTATCGGTAAGAAAGCTTTTTATCCTTTCTGTTACACAGAAAACACCCCCAATTAAGTTATCACAATCAAATAAATATGAACCAAAGAATAAAGAGTAAAAAGGATGGTGTCCTTATAGTACGAGTCTATCACATATTTTTTTATTAACAAAATTTAACTGTAAACGAAAACTTAAATGTTGGCTATTAGAGTTATCATATGATAACCTTTAAAATAAGTTGCGTCATAGATTAAATATAGTGTTTTGTTGTACTGTCCCTTATGAATGAGGAAGTATTAAAAAAAAAATAGTTTCCGAAATCAAACTAGATGTCGTTACGGTACGTTCTTGATTTCTCCATGACAACCTTCCTGTTTTTATTTCATGTTTAAAAGTAAATTAGTTTTAAAACTCAATAAGCAACTCATATTCTATATGTACTTTTTCGTATTTGTATTGATATCTAAGTTTCGAACTATCAAATTTCAGTTTTTTTAATATGTTAGTAGGAACAGAAATGACTATCTTTGGTCCATTCGTTTCCTGCAAAAATCAACTTTTGCTCGAGTCGCTGTCTAGTGGAGGTGCTTCCCTAGTGCTTTCGTTTTTTTTTAAATACTTCCTCATTGATCACCTCTTATCGTTGTCTGTGACGTGTGCGGAGTGCGTTCTCAAGTGGTGCGCCAGATTATGTGCACTCTTGTAGTGCGTACGGCACGGGGCGCAATATGGCGCACTAGATGCACTATGGACCGTCGCCATGTGGGTAACCAGACCAGACTTGGCGTTGTAAACTTTGTTACACGCTTCACATGAATACACGCGGCTCGATTGTTTGTGTACCGTACTGGGAATTAATGAACTCATTAGATAACTGTAACTCGCAAACCAGTGGCGGACTAAGGGTGCGCCCGGGGCCTCCAATTAGCTGTGCGGTTTTATGGATAATTTATTAGAAAACTGTAACACGCAAACCGGTGGCGGACTAAAGGAAGCCGGAGGGACCTCCAAATGCAGTTTCGTAATTTTTGTTGCATTCATTACCTTTAAAATACTACAGCCGTCCGCCAAAATCATAATACAGTAGAGTCCCGATTATTTGAGAACGAAAACTTAGCAAAGTTATAGATTATAATCGAAAATCCGGATTATCGATTACAAAACCAAACTGAATAAAATATTAAAAATTTAATCAATTTTTATTATAATATTGGTATTACATTTGTCGCTTAGATTATACGATATATTAAAAAGAGCTATATTGATAATGAATACATCATACCAATGTAATTTAAAAACAAAATATTGGAAATTGGCGATAGGTCGTAATATTGTAATGGAAAGTGATTTCATATTTTAATGTCATTTTTCATTTTTGACGCTCTGTATGAAATAAAACAGGGAGAAAAAAGCAGCCCTTGCCGAATTTCTTGCCGGTTCTTCTCGGTACAAGGTCTCCCGCATTAGATTTACGAACCGATGGCGTAGCTCTCGACTTTCATAAGTGCTTGTAAACAGCCTAGACGGAATAAATAATTTTGATTTTGTTTTTTTAAATCACATAACACAACTGCTGTCAGGTTGACATATCCTATAATTTACATGTGCGAAGTCGCGGGAAAACAGCTAGTATTCATACTGTAAATACTCACAACATATGGACCCTGAGCCCGTTGTTGTTAACAAACGTACTCTCGCACAGGGAACATTGCAGCTTCTGTTTATGTTTGTCGCGGTGATAACGGTAGCTGCGGTTTGATCTGGCACAAAACAAACTGAATTTCATTATCATAGACATAGAGGCGACGAGTCATGGAACATATCCTCAAACTGTAACCTAATTGTATTCACACCTTGAATTTGACATTTAAAAGATATTCACGAACTTCACGCTACAAGTATTTGGCACGTGATAGCAATTGCGGCCGCGACGTTTACTTTTGAAAGATATTGCATGAACGATAACGTTATTTTATTATTGTTTCTATACGTGTAAAGACCACAAACGTGACATTGGCGGAATTGTGTAAATGCAAATAGGCCATGAATTAAAAAAGAAGAAGAACGTTTATTTGACGTTTGAATTGTATAAGCAAAGTGATAGTTACAAACATCTTGGAAAGCTATTGGGAATCTTGAAAATGTCAACTGTGTTCATATTCTACATAAGTAAAATATATAATAAATAAATGTATTATATAATAATATACAATAAATATAGTAACATATCCCAAAACAGTATAAGATAATTACTACATTTATATTTTTAGATAAATTAGTTCCAATTTAGGATAACAGATGGCGCAATGCCATTACGAATCGCGGTATGATTTTTTTTCTTTATGAGATATACAAATATTTGTGATTTCTTATATTAAACGTTTTTTTTTAACTGTTACGATGTAATAAGTCGTATGGCTAGAATTCATTCTGTCAATGAGCCCTAGGGATGTCGAAAATGAAAAATAATATCGATATTTATTACAATATCTCAATATAAGCATCGTTATACCAAAGGAAAAATATCAATACATAGATATATCGATTAAATTGCAAAAACATGAAAGTATTTTGCGAGTGAGTATTCCTTTTTATTAGACAGAATTACAAAAATATCGTTTTCGATACTGGATATTTTGTATCGATATTTCGATACGTCGGATGAATATATATCGGTGAAAAATATCGATATATTGAATTGAAAATATCGATTTATCGATACTTTTTCTGCAAGCCTAATGAGCCCTCGCACTAGACTACGATTTATTCAATTGTGACTTTGAAAGTTACAAAATTCCATTAATTACAATCGGTGTACGTTCGAAAGGGATTATGTTAGATTTTAAAATTATTGTTGTTTAATCTTTGGGCACACATTAAAATATGAAAGAATTTTACTCACTCGGTAGTAAATCCGCAGTCTTGGCATACGAAATGTGTATCTATAGTCCCGTGTGTCTCGTTGTAATGTTTTATTACTGAATACACATTGTTCTTACGTTTGCCGCAATCCTGACACACGTATCTGAGACAAAGATAGATAAACACTTTAAAATAAAGTCAAAAATTGGAAGATTTTTTAAACTAGTTTTTATTTTGTGTTTACGGGTGTAGGCAGTAAACGAAAATAAATACATATTATTTTCTTTCTGGTAGTAATAAATTTTATTTTTAAAACACGATCAACACGATCTCACATAGGGTTTTAACAAAAAATGGTAAATCATGTAAATATATTAAAAATAGAAATGGGCCTAAGATAGAACCTTGAGGAACGCCTATTTTTACATGAGACCCCGACGGCTACGCACCGTTTATATCTACTGTTTGTGTTCTGGAACTAAGATACGACAGCATTAGTTTTTGAGCAGCATCTTTAATACCGTAGTAATTCAGTTTAAACGACAGTGTCTGATGCTCAACATAATCGAAGGCTTTGGACAGATCGCAAAAAACTCCAAGAGCGTTTTGCGATCCCTCCCATGCTTTAAATATATGCTTTAGTAGCGCAACACCCGCATCTGTTGTCGAACGACCCTTGGTAAAGCCGTATTGAAATATGTATGAATATATGAATTTGGACTAATACTAAAATCGCAATTTAAAAAACTAAAGGTATATTCCAGATTTCAGCTCAAACGGAGACTAGGAAATGGGTGATATTTAGCTTGCAAGATATAATTACAGAAAGACTAACATCGGACAGATGAAACTAGGCTTGCTACACGTTCCGCATTTTCCAGGACAGTCCCGATTTGAATTATATAGTCTACTAAATAAATATATGTCTCAGAATATCTCCTTCATTGTCACAAAGATCGTTTGACTTAGTTTCTTTTTTTTAAATTATTAGTTTCTTTTTTAAATTATTAGTTTCTTTTTTAAATTATTAGTTATTCGATTACTTAATTACTCGATTGTACAGATGTCGTGATCATCGATACTTTTAATTTTACTAGAATGGTAGCACTGACTTTGACAGTTCGTTAATCTAAAGCAAGTTGCCGCCATTTTGGTACGCATTCTGTTTCCGGTCGCCGAGGAGTAAAGACATCCGACGACATCACGCTCATCTCGTTATATTTTCGTATGAAAAGTGATAAAATGGAATTAATCCTGCAGTGTTATGTTGAAGATAGTCCCCCGATATGGACGATCTATTTGGGTTTCGTAATAGCCCCTTCTGACTATAGTATGACCGTTTAAATGAGTCCTCGCCCGCGCGGTACAGGGGCGCGTGGTATGACGACAAAGGGGACCGAGAGAGGTGCGGGCGGCGGGCGCATTATTGTTTTACCTCATTTCGATCGTTACGCGAGTAGCGAACACATGTGCTGATTTTTGCGGAGGCTTTGTGAAAGATATACATGAGATTACATTCTCAAGATGAATCGCAATATTTTCGGACATAAGGTTAATAGTCAGTGCAAGCAAATGGCTTTTAAGGTTTACGAATACTTTAGAAAAAAAAAATTGGACCCAAATTCTGTTGAATATCAACAAGACATACCTTTAAATAAAACCGTAGCAGAAGTTACTGGGCTATCGGAAAAGACTGTATCTAGAATTGTACAGCAAGGGAAATTATTGAAAGACAACGAAAGATTCACCTCACTGAGAAAACCGAAACAAGTTCGAAACACACAAAAGAGTGGAAATAGACGATTTCACAAAAGGAGTGGTAAGAAGAAAAGTGACTCCGTTTTACACAATTGAAAAAAATATACCTACTCTGAAAACTTTGAATGCTGTACTTAGACAAGAGAATATATTACACTGCGGCAGGGAATATTTAAGGCTGTTATTACATGATCTTGGTTTTAAATTTAAGAAGTGCGGTTCTAAAAGGAAACTTCTTATTGAACAGCCAAATATAACATCGTGGAGGTGGAAATACCTAAAGACTATTAAAAAATATCGTAGAGAAGGACGACATATTTTATATCTTGACGAAACTTATGTGAATGCGTCTCATAACGTTTCAAAATGCTGGCAATCAAAGGATGTACATGGCGTGCTATTTCATATCGGTAAAGGGAACCGTTTGATCATCGTACATTGCGGAGGTCAAACTGGATTTGTAGACGGAGCACTTGTGATATTTAAATCCAAATGTAAAACAGGTGATTATCATGATTCTATGAATTTCGTGAATTTCAGTAAATGGATAAATGAAAAGCTAATGCCTAATATACCACCAAATTCTATCATCGTTATGGATAACGCAGCTTACCATTCGGTTCGAGAAGAGAAAAAGCCGACTATGGCTTCTACCAAGGCAGTTATGCAAACATGGTTACGACGACAAGGCGTGGCTTTTGATGATGAGCTTAGAAAGGATGACTTATTTAAATTAATTAAAAATACAGAAACGGAAGATATTTATAAAATTGATGAGTTATTGAAGAGAAACGGACATGAAGTGTTGCGTTTGCCTCCATACCACCCAGACCTGAACCCTATTGAGATGGTCTGGGGTGATATTAAGGGACAATTAGCACAAAAAAGTGTCGACTCAAATTTGGACCAAAAAAAATTACATTAGAGGGATTATTTGCTGAATATTCCATAGAGAAGTGGGAGCATTGTGTTAACCACGTAATTAAAATCGAGGACGAGTACTGTAAACATGACGGACTTCGGGATGATGCTGTTGATTTTATTATTAACACTCAGGACGACTCTGATGATTCTGATGACGGCAGCTTTGAAAGTGAAGAATCAAGTTCCACTGATATTGATATGGACATAAGTGATTGATTTATAATTTTGATAATTCTTGAATTTAATAAATAGTACACAAGTTTATTACTAAATATTTTATTTAGTTACCTACACAAGTTACATTTTCTTTCTTTTAAATTTTATGTAATCATCAATTGATTTTCAAATAAAAAAATCACAATTTGTTCACCGTTATCCACTATGACGTCACATATCTTAGGATCTGTCTAGTGTGCATTTCGTGTCATGCGCGCGCGCCTGCCGCCCGCCTCTCTCTCGGTCCCCTTTGTCGTCATACCCCGCGCGCCTGTACCGCGCGGGCGAGGACTCATTTAAACGGTCATACTATACCCGCCGTCATATATTAAACTAGCTGTTTAATACTTCGGCCGCTATTATAGCTTTGTGATGTAGCTTCACGCAGTTGAAAGAATTTTCATGGTCGAAGCTTTAATTGTCTAATTTTAAAATCCATCGCGATGCCTTTCAATTTGACACACGAAATCTATTCACGAACACCACACTACAACTATTTGGCATGTGACTGTGATTGTGATGGCGACATCTTGAAAGATAATGTATGAACGATATCGTTAATTAGACATTGATTGGAATTATCTAAGGCAAGCGTTAGATGCATATTATACTTTAGGTTACTGAGTTTTTAATGTTTTTGATCATTCATATCCTCAGTGGCGTAACTACAGGGTGGCAAGTCGGCAAAATGGCAGGGACACCCAGCTGGAAGGGGCCCCCGGTCAGAGGAGACTCCTTATTCCATTATATTATTGGAGTAAGGAGTTTCCTCTGACCGACTTACTGCAATTTATTATTACACAATTAGTAAAAAATAATAGAATATCCGATGAATTTGCCACGGGCCTCAAACGGTATAGTTACGCCACTGCATATCCTCATTCATTCCGAAAGCGAAATGCTACTTTAAACGTTATCTAATTGCAGTAATGACTATATCTTTGAAAGGGATTGCGATAGATGAAACTAGGCAATTAGGCCGCAGATCAGTATTTCTAAAGATAACACTTTATAATGATGTATATTATAAGAGTCCCCATAACTATTTACTCTTTTCTGTTTCCCAAAGGGGTGAAATCTAATAAGGAGAATATGCCGCGATGGCCCACCATGATGGCCCATTGGTAGGTATCAACGTAGCGGAATCAGCGGCTGATTTGTTGAAAATAACCGCCGCGGCCCGCGATCGTTGTCGTTAAACAACTTTCGCAAGAGTCTCGACCTACTCCGTGTTTATGTTGAATTGGACCGATCGACATCTGACCGGGCATATCACGATATGCGGGGTTTTCTGATTTGGCGAGGAAAATCAAGAGCAGTCCGGTTTAAAAGTTTGGCAAATCGACGATAACGCAAAGGTTGACACTAAGTTGTGAAAATATTATGTTTAGAAATATGTAAACATAATATTTTCATAATACTTCCATGTAGTTCAGATTATACTTTTATTTTGAAATGCTGAAATATTTTTTTGTACAATCATAACAGCCTTTTCATTTGCCAGTCAAATAATTATTATTTAAACTTTATTTTATTTGCTTGCATACAGGATGGGCGGTGGAAGAAATCCCGCGTTGTTGCCCATCTCTGCTTACATAGAACTTTGGTCACCCTACAATATCGATTGACCTGAGTATACTCGGGCAAATTGTCAAACGTTAAGCATTGAACTGGATGCGGGAGGCTCGGGACCGATCACATTGGAGATCTTTAGGGAGGCCTATACCCAGCAGTGGGCGTCTCTCGACTGAAATGATGAGGATGAAGCATTGAACGATATGGCGGATGATAGATGGCCGAATGAAGAAATGGCGGCATATCGTGATATGCCTGGGCAGATCTCGATCGGCCCTTACACGTTAGGCCGTTGGTCCCGGCTGCATTTGTCATTGATGCATTACGTTGCAGGGTCATAGCCCATCCTCCTTAACCATAAATAAGGAAGGACTGAGCCCCAGCTGTGGGGACGTAAACGGGCTGACTGTGATGTTATAAATACCGTCTAAAATGTCTTTTTGTGTGCTCCTTATAAGATGACTCAGTGCCGAGTACCGATTTGCATATATCGCAAAGGTAACCTCCCTTTTTCTGAAACAACATGTTTAATCTGTCAGTCAAATAATAGAACGATATTAGATACTTCTTTTTTTTTTATTTTAAAAGAAACAGCTTAGATAATAGGCATTAAAGTTGAGGAGTGGGGGCTCACTACGTCACAACTAAAGGTGTGACGTCATGCGACATTTCAACTCAACGTACCGCAGCAATTTATTGATTACGCAAAAAAAACGTGTTTAATATTCTTCAATGTACGCGTTTAAAATTAGACATTCCTATTAATTGTTAATTCGGCCAATGGTTTATATCAGCCTTTCCCAAAGTGGGTAATAACGCCCCGTTGTGTCCACACCCTTAAAGCTCAAGCGTAAATGGGAGCGGTAAGAGACCCAGAAAAATAAATGTTGAGGAAGGCTTAGGAAGAGTTAACTTGAGACTTGTGTACAATACATACTGAGCTCAGGTCTCAAGTTAACTCTTGTGGGTTATAGTTAAACTCTCGTTTAGAACGAATTTTTAAGCTCCGCTAATGTAGCTGAAAATAATTAATTTAATTTGAAGTTACAGTAATTGATGTATGTAATTTAAAATTGCCGCCTTCTAAGCATGTTCTTATGTTGTCACTGATACTGTGATCTTACATTTTGTCTCTCTCTTATGTATGGCTAGCCCGTTCTAAACTGAGTTTCAAGACTTTAATTAATCATTAAATTTTTGTTTAATCAATAGTTATAGTAGATGAAAAGATGAGGGCGCTAAAAATTATTTATTCTCAAAGTGGGCAGTAGACGAGATATGTTTGGGAACTTCTGCTTTAATCCAAGTACTAAATGAATCTGACATCCTGAATCTGAGACCTGCAGAGCGACCGCCAAACTATTTCGTTATAACTCTAGCAATGTCTAAAAGAATATGTTTTAAATAAATATGTTCTGTTTTAAAATTAAATGTTTTTTATTATACTCATATATAGATATGCAGTGTGTTTGAACACCGGTGTCCGACCCATTAAGGCCAAGTAATATAAACGATTTTATAAATAAATCCACCATAATTAGCCATTTTGCCCTCATATGTTTTAAAATGGCGGCCATTTTAATTTATTTTTTCTCCGAGTACGTGTGGGTTTATTTAGTTTGCACTATCTGCCGATGTAGAGGTCCTACAAAAAATGTGATATCGTTAGACAGCTACAAAAGTAGTCAATTAGCTGACATAAAAAATTTTTTCGTAACTCAATAAAACACCCTCAAAAAATTTTTTTTTCTTAAAAGCTATAATAAAAAATGGAAGTTTTTTACGTTTTTTTTTCAAAAAAACTGAACTGTCAACGTACTTCTTTTTTTTACTTTTTAGACACCCGAAGACATTACCTAAACACTGATGTAATAACCAAAACTCCAAGTAAAAAGGTTTGAAAGTTATAACTATTTTCAGTTGTCTGTCTGTCCGATGTAGAGGCTACATCGGCAGATATTGCAAACTAAATAAACCCACCCGTACTCTGAGAAAAAATAAATTAAAATGGCCGTCATTTTAAAACAAGTGTGGCAAAATGCTTAATTATGGTGGATTTATTTATAAAATTGAGTATTTTATGAAACATAACATTTGATCAATAGTAAAAAGTGTAATGTAGTGAAAAATAGTATAATACTGTTTTAAACAAAATAGTTGGCAACCCTACTCTGCCTGCAAACTCCTACTAGGCGTTGCCGATTGATTGTGTTAAGAATTCTGCCTAATATTCTATTGCAATAAGAATTACATTGCATACTTACTGTACCATGTCTTTTTTCATTATGATCTTTCAAAGTCAAATCGTGGTCAAATCCTGTGATGCAACTGTCACACTTATAGGGCAACTTCAAATAACTATCTTTTTTTGCATCTCTTTCTCTCTCTTCTAACATTTCCTTCTTACTCAGCGTTACAACAGCGATTTTTCCTTCATACTTCTCCGATAAGGACCTCTTTTTGGATTTGACAACCTCTTTGCTTTTAACTTTTTTCTTCTTGACTTTTCTCATTTCTTTCTTTATCTCTGATAGTGGAGCGTCAGTTTCGAAATCCGAATAACTGTCGTGTTCAACTTTCACTTCAGTTGTTATTTCGCTATAGTGCTCTTGCGGTGGATTGGCGTACGTTTCTTGTTCGGAAGGTTCATTTTTAAAAATTATATCAGCGCTTTCTGTTTTCGAAATTCGAAGATCATGCAATGTTTTTCTCGATGGCTTATTGATCTGAGCCTGTTGAATATTACAAATTGAAATTATTTTACAATCTAAGTATTAAATAGCTTGTTTTTAATATCACATAAAGAATTATTCATTCATAACTCAGAGTACAAGATGAGTAGCCCCAGTCCTCATATTATGGAATATCTGAGACAACTAATGCTCCAACAGTGAGGACAATAATAAGCTGGCGATGATGATAATTAAACAAAAAACATATTTTTCAATTGGTACAACCGCCACAGGAAATGACATGGGTAAGGTTTGTAAGGGGATGGTAAAATAATAATCTGTGAACTATTTATGCATACAATTAAATATTTATCTATCTAACTTACCCATTTTTTATTTCATAGTTTAATATTATTAAATATGCTGTGATAAATTGTGACCTACCTGGCTGTTAAGTATAGTAAGGCTTTCTTGAACTTGCAGCTTAAATAATTCTATCTTCTTAAGAAAATGGTGACATTTTTGACATATCACTGAGCTTTGATATTCTTCCTGTAATGGGGGAATGATTAATTGAATTTGACGATATTTAGATAGCACAGAAATATGTATAAATATTAGGGGAGAACAATTTATAAGAATGCATATTTTGTATTTTTTTTTTCACAATCTTGAATACTACATAGTACTACGTATCCGTCACTTCCTAAATATCGGTAGTTTAATTCAGACAAAATATTTTTAGTTGCTGTGAGGAAAGTAAGTATAAATATTGTTGTTTATAAGTAAACTACTGAAAATATAAAAAAATAACTTTTATTAAATATTGTTAAACACATTATAGCCATTATATTAGCACACATTATTTCATTTAATAACAGTAACATTCTCTTCAGTAAACTATTTTATTTCTTAAATTTTGTATTTGAATAAAATCACTACAGCAGTTTTAAATATAATATCACCACTTTTATAATTAAATTTAATTACAATTATAAATACATAAATTTTCCCTGACAAAAAACTAATTCCCTATAGCTATTATAAGCCACAGTTAATACTTTCATATTATTATCTCAAACTATTAACATAATTAATATCAATAACATTATGAAGTTAATTTTAAATTTTTTTAAATATATTTTTATCGAATTTACTTTGATACTAGTTATATTTGTATTAATATGTTTATTATACTCATTCAAGACTGTCCCAGGCTGTTAAAATTGGTATAAAGTTTCTGAGAAAAATATATAAATATAGTCAAGATTTAATTAATTTAACAAACTTTATTGAACATTGAATGGATACAAGAGGCGGATTTAATGCTAACTAATGCTAATAGCATTGAGAATAACGCTATAGCATTCTCTACCAGTCAACCTTTGTTAAACAGAAAAACTGTTTATGGCACTTTTCACTACATCAGATATTTTATGCTGTAATAAACATAACACCTTGTGTAAAATGCTGTAACATAACATTATTTCTTCTTAAGAATTAGGTTTATTAGGTTATTTTTAAATTTTTGTTAAATTTCAAAACTGCCATAAAGGTATTTCAAATGTGCCCCTATTTTGGGGCAGATTTTAATAAATAAAAGCTTACAAAAATTTTACTAATGTATTATTTATATAATTAATCCAAATGAATAAATATCATTTTTTTTATTACATAGTTTTAACTCTATTAATTATTTAAATTGATACATCGTAATAAATTTTATAACGTGAAAAATATAACACGCCATCTAAAGTGTACAAATGTGTTCCCCTCTCCCCTGCGTGAATATGCCATTTTGGAAGGTCAAGATGCCAATTCAAAGCAGTATCACTGTATTGCGCTAACATTCTTAAAGCAAACAGATGTTAATAATTTATACACATTTAATAAATAAATTAATAAAACTAAACTAACCTTGAATTTGAAAATAAACTCTAAAATATTTGCATGTTTACAAGTTGATAGTTGAACGAATGAAACGTTTTGTTGCAAACAACTGATACAAACACTTTGTGAGCATGTAAATTTCATTGCTTTTTCATTCAAAACCATAACCGGTATGTTTAATTGTATAAAATCAGTCATTTTATAAATTTATTTTATGACACCAATGCAAACTCGAACAACTATAAGCTACTGCATTCCATTTTACGTTACAACCTTAATATGTGCAACACGCAACAGAATACCAGCAAGAACTATGGCATAACGATTTCAGTCTGCTTAGAATGGAATTCGTTGAAAGCGTTTTATTATTGTCTAAACTTGTTATGTGGATCACAATATCTACAACAAATATAATTTATTTTGTTAATTATATCTATTACAATATTAAATTTTTATAATATGATTATTCCAAAATATTAATATTAATTTATTAGAATAATTTTGTTTCAAAAATAGTAAGCGAGTGAAGATAAATAAAACGCTTAGACGTTTTGAAACAATCTCGGAAACTTATAGTTTTGTTTAAATAATAAATCACAGACTTAGTAGGTATAATAAATCGAAAACTGTTTTGGCTCAAAAACATGTTATAAATAAAGAATTGAGTGTAGTGCAAGTTTTGGACTTCAGTGAGCCCCTTGTGTTGAACTCTTCTTCTCAGTGTGTGCAATTGTTGGACTCTAATGAACCGTTTGTGACTACCCCTGTGGTTCCGTGTGATGTAGTGCTCGACTCTAATGAGCCGCTTCTTCATTCTTCGGAGCCTTTAACTGGCACTTCTCAGGACCAACCAGTAGCTGGTTGTTCATGGGAAGAACCACGTTCATCGACATCCAGAGGAACTGGTTCCAGTGGAAGGCGTCAGAACTTGCATGCTGAGGAGGTTAAATCGCAGTGGAACCATTTTAAAATCTTCTCGACTTTAGGTGGGTTAATAATGTTAGTTTTATATTAATCATAGTTAGCTGGTATTGTTTCGAACATTATTGTTTGAAATTTCATTGTAGAAAAAAATATGTTAAGCTATCCATACATTTAAATTATATAGTATCAGAAATGAGTCATCACCAGAATATTAGGTTAGGTTAGTACTATGATTCTAACAGAAAACAAATGACCACAAGGAACAAGCCGCCACCAGAATCGTAGGTTTTTTTTTTTTTTTTAAATTTCAATTGAATTTAATGAAGGAATCGTGAAAATTTTGCTTTAAATCCCCCTGTTGAGGGGGGATTGTACCAACTTCTAAAGATAGAAGAGGCGCAGGTGATAGGTGGGGATGAGTAGAGGGGGTTGGGCTTTGCCCGGGAGCTTCATATTGGTCCACGAACCCCCTCCATAGGGGTAGAGAGAAGGAAAGGGGGATAGAGGGTGATAAGAAAGTGGGAACAAGGGTCGAAGAATGGTGAAGTAAGAATGGTGAGTGTGAGGTGAGTAAAGAACCCCTGCTCCCAGATAGAAATGAATGATAGGCGAACATGTGGATGAGTATAGATGACAAAAGGATGATAGAAGGGTGCCGGGGGTGAAATGAAGTGGCCCCCCCGCCCCGCGACCGTATCCATCAGTGACGAAGGGTACGGTCGCGGGGCGCCGGGGCCTTTGAGGCACCCTGTGTGATGCGACTTTCGGATGTTGATGTTGTTTCGATTGGTGCAGCCAGGATGGTGAAAGTCGCTCTATGCTGCTACTGTTCTGTAAGACCTTGAAAAGAAACAAAAATAGCTTTGAAGCTGCTGCTGCTTCCTGTACGATTTGCACTCATCAGCAGTTCTTATTTCCGACGATTGTCTGAAAATATAAAGACTTCTTTGGGGTGTTGCGGTGAAGTCCATTCTTGCTCAGCTTTTGTCTCGTAAGTTTGAAGAGGTCTTACAGGGGTTCGGCCGACCCGGGGCAGTCATGTGGTGATTTAGCCTTAATGTTGGTGCCAGGCTGAGATGTGTGATGTGCATGCTCGCAGTTTCAGAGGGGTATTCTTGTGCTGGAGCTTTCTGAAAGGAATAGATGGATGGAGCTGCCGTGTTGTCCTGATGCCGGATCAGCCTTTGTTGTTTAGCTATGAGAGGAGTGGGAGAATAATAAAAGAAGCGTCGTTTCGCCTCTGCGTGTAGGGTTTGAAGAGTGTCTCCTAACTTGTCTTATTTGTTTACTTGTTTGTTCGTTTATTTATTAAAAGATTAATGAGCCCGGTGTTATTGTTATAAGAGAGGAGGGGGGTATCCCCCATTTGATCCCCCATTCCCAGCCATTGGGTGAAATACCTGATTATGGGGGGTCAAGCGGGGGAGGCCCTTCCTTGTTTGAGTAGTACACATATGACATATATTATAATCTATTTGATCCTAATTCCCTTCCTAACCTAAGGTGAAACTGAAACTAAAGTTAAAATTTAAAATTTAAAGTTTAAAATTAGAAATTAAAACTATTGAACAATATTGTTTTGTAGTATTTATGATTGTGTCTGTTTGCACATTGATGGTATACAGATAAATTATTCAATTAATTAATCAATTAATCATTTGTCATAATTCTAAGGATCACATTTTGTAATATTCTCACCCTTGATGTTTATTACACCAGGAAGAATTTAGTGTATCTATTTATTATGTACCCATATCCAATTGGTTCTTATGATTATAGTTATGATTAATTATCAATATTCTATATGATTTCTGCCTTAATTATTATATTACATATTTACCTAATTATGTATGGTGTCGGGGACACTTTTACATTCTTGCGCCCTTCCCCTTGAGGCGGGGTGGCGTCTTTAAGGCTCTCCAAGAGGGAGAGCAGTTTCCCTGAAGGGGCATAGAGTGATTCTAACTGGCGGTAGGGTAGCAAGCGGGACGGCCTGCTCTGCTATAGTAAATTGATAATAAAAAAATGAAAGATAAAAGAAAAATCCCCTCCTTGAAGGTCCCCAGCATCCCTCCCGCCTGCGCCCGCGCCCAATCCTTTCCCTAGTTGGGGCCGGAATTGCAAGGTCATGTCTGGTATAATGCGGTTCCTTGCCTTAATGACAGGCGAGGCGAGGATCGAGAGCTGCCATTTTAGAGATGGTAAATCAGCTGTCCCGTGTCTCATACGGGTGAGTTGAGCTGTGGTTGTAATTACCGTTGCCATTTGCGATTTGCAGTGTATTGTATTGAGTTAATCCTGTTAATCCTAACATTCTCTCTTCATTCATTATTTTTAACATTCATAACATTCCTAACAGTCCTAAGATTCTTAATAATCCTGACATCCCGTTCCATTAATCCTGACATTCCCCTTTCATTTATTCTTTTGTTGATAATCCTAACAATCCTAACATTCTTATCAATCCTAACATTCCTCTTTCATTCGTCGTATTTCATTGATAATCCTAACATTCCTAACAATCCTAACATTCTTGTTAATCCTGACATTCCCCTTTCATTCATCATCTTGTTGATAATCCTAACAATCCTAACAATCTTAACAATCCTAACAATCTTAACAATCCTAACATTTTTAACAATCCTAACATTCTTGTTAATCCTGACATTCCTCTTTCATTCGTCGTATTTCATTGATAATCCTAACATTTCTAACAATCCTAACAATCCTAACATTCTTGTTAATCCTGACATTCCCCTTTCATTCATCATCTTGTTGATAATCCTAACAATCCTAACAATCTTAACAATCCTAACAATCTTAACATTCCTATCAATCCTAACATTCTCCTTTCATTCGTCATTTTGCTGATAATCTTAACCATCCTAACAATACTAACATTCTTGTTAATCCTGATATTTCCCTTTCATTCATCATCTTGTTAACAATCTTAACAATCCTAACAATCCTAACATCCTAACAATCCTAACAATCTTAACAATCCTAACATTCTAACAATTCTACCACTCCTATCATTCTTGTTAATACTGACATTCCCCTTTCATTCATCATCTTGTTATCAATCTTAACAATCTTAACAATCCTAACATCCTAACAATCTTAACAATCTTAACAATCCTATCAATCCTAACGATCCTAACATTCCTATTAATCCTAACATTCATCGTCTTGCTAATAATCCTAACATTAATAATCCTCACATTCCTAACAATCCTAACATTACCAACAATCCTAATATTCCCCTTTCATTCATCGTCTTGCTGATAATCCTAACATTCCTAGCAATCTTAACAATTCTAACACCCTTGATTAATAATAACATTATTAATCATAAATTTTTTTTTTATTTTTTTTTTAAAAGAAAATCAAATATAAAATAACAAAACATGGATTACAGAATCGCAACATAGATAAAATCAACATTTAAACCAGATCTATCATTATTTTCCTTAGGATTAACAGAATCTGCAAACTACCTCTAAGGGGGTGGAAGATGGAGGGGCCCACGGCCCTATGAGCCTTGCTTAACTTGGTTTTACTGATAGTAATTTGTTAATCAATGATAATAACAATTAATTGGATCACTTAGTTAAATAATCACAATTGGGAAAAGGACTCTAATAATAATTGCTTATAAAATAATAGATTGATTTCCAGGCAGCAGCAGTTGGACCGGAGCCCGCTCCAGCACGCGTGGCCCGGCCCAATGGTCCGGACGGCAGCAAGCAGAGGCCCGTCCCAGCACTGGGGGGGGGGCGCTTCCACCGGCAGTCATGGCTTCCCTCCAGCCGGATGGGTGGGAGAAGCAGGGCCCCTTGGGGCAGCTCAGGGCAGCCCGTGGAAAAATGAAGACACTTTCCTACCTGAGGATGGTGTGCAGCCTGTAGGTCCGCAGCCACCGCAGCAGGGCAGCCGGCACCGGCAGTCGGCTCGGGGATGATGCGGCCTGTTGCACCGTGCCACAGGAACAGTGTTAGGATGCCGGTCCGACTCTGCCAGATGTTAGGATGCCGGCCCGGCTCAGCAGGATGTTAGGATGCCGGTCCTGCTCAGCAAGATGTTAGGATGCCGATCCGACTCAGCAAGTTGTTAGGATGCGTGCCCTGCTCAGCCATATGTTAGGGTGCCGGCCCGACTCAGCGAGATGTTAGGATGCCGGTCCGACTCAGCCAGATGTTAGGATGCCGGCCCGGCTCGGCAAGATGTTAGGATGCCGGTTCTGCTCCGCAAGATGTTAGGATGCCAGGATGCCG